TCCGTATAAATGAAATAATCTGGAGGAATCCTTTGAATTAGTTTTACCTGTGAACCAAAAAGATAATGGAGCTAAGTAACTATGGCCTAAAACAATTAGAAGAAATGGCTGAAAAAGAAAATGATAATGAAATAAAATACAAAATAATATTAAAACTATCTAAACAATCAGATATGGTAGATGAAGAAAAAATATAAGAAATAAATGATGAGAGATTAGAAATAGAAGAAGATATCTATAAATAATTAGGATTAATCAGCTTGGAAAAAAATGGAACACATTCCCCTTGAAGATTTAAAACAAATAATGGGAAATAATGACGCAGAAAAAGAAAAAGAAAAAGAAAAAGAAAATAATGTTCTAGAAAACCTTGAAGACATAGAAATAGAAAAAGAAAAAGAAAAAGAAAAAGAAAATAATGCCTTAGAAGGGTTAGAAGAAACTAATAACGTTAATGATATTGATATGGCAATGGTAAAATAAGAATAAAGTAGTTCGTCTGCCCTACCTAATCTAAACCATCCCAACTTTAGAAACTTTACTAGGCAATAGCTAGAAGATGACACTAGAAACTATGACTATAGAAGAAGAACATGACACTGCAACTACCTAAATAGAGGATCTTTTACTAGAGGAATATCCAATTATGCAGACTTTACTCCTAGAAAGAAAGTATTTTTAAAGGAGGTATCACTAAAACCAATAAGCAATACATGATATTTTTTAGACATTGATTGTACTACAAATACAAGTGAGGTAATAAAACAATGGAAAGAGAGGCATGCACTATGTCTTAAATATCCATAGCAGCAGCTAGAGCGCACAAAGTTTTTAAAATTATATTAAACATAGCTTTATGAGTATAGTAACAAGCTGGTATGATAACTTGAGAGAAAGTGACAGAAAAATTAACAGCAGAAATTACCCCAGAAGGTATGTCAAACCTATTTGTAAAATATATTGAAGATGAATTTGTAGGAAAAGAGTGGGATGAGGATAAAAGAAAAAGAGAATGTGTCAGAAAGCTATGTAACATAGAAATATGTAATATGGAATATATAGAAAATTATATATGCGGATACTATTATTACTACTATCAAATAGGTAGAAATAAAATACATTTAACTATATTTTTTCATAAATTACTATATCCTATAAATGTTAATATAAAAGAAAAAAATATGAAAAATGGTTGAAAGAATTAGAAGATGCCACAAGCGGCACCTTGGGTCATAGAATTAGATATCTAAGAGAACGGGTGGAACAGGAATGCATGAAAATGAAACAAAAATGAAAAATGAAAAAATAGTATTTAAATTGCTGGCAAGTATCCAATTCATGAGGATGTGAGCCTTTAAGAAAAAAACATACAATAAGAAAAAGAAAACTTTTTATAAAAGAAAATGTTTTAATAAACAAAGAGGAGAAAAATACAAAAGAAAATTGTAACAACCCCGACCCATGATTAACGTTAATTCATGCTTAATTATGCCTAATAAGAAATTAAAGTGAAATTTTGCATTATACATTGTCTTATTTGTGTTTATATCTGTTTAACGTAGAAAGATTTGTTCATGTTTCCGTTTCGATTTGCGAATTGAAGGCCTTATTAGCGTTCGATTAAGAAATTGACTTGATTTATGTGTTAAATAGAATTTTTAGAATTTTATAGTAGGTTTAATTAAAATTCGATTCGGAACGAAATAATTAGAATAATTAATGCTCAATTAAGCCCAAATTAATGAATTTATTAATCAAGCCTATATAAGGCCACCTCATTACCTCCTACATACTTTTACACTTCCACTTCCTCTTGCTTGACCATCAAAAATGTGTGAGAGTGGGAGAGAAGGAAATTGAGCTCAATTGTAGAGTGATTGTTAGAATTTGGAGGAGATTGAAGTGAATTCAAAGGAATTAAACTCCAACTTGAAGAATTTGAGCCTTAGGTAAGACTTCAACTCACATTTTGTAACCTTAGGCTCAATTACATGTGAAATCAACAAGAAATGAAGTTGTTATGCATTATTCAAAGAGAATTGAGATTAGATGATAGAATTGAACATGACTCATGCACGTATGTGCATATAATGAGGTTTTGAAGTTGTTTTTACAAGAAATCCTACATGCATGTTCATATCTTGGTTTTGTTAAAAGAATTCAACTTGTTTTTGAGCTTAATGACTCACTTGATCATGTTTTAGGGAGTTGAAATTCATGACATTACATACAAGTTATGTTATTTAAGTTTCAAGCTTTGTTTAGTACAATTGGCTTAGAGAATTCTGCTCCTCCGCTCGAGCGAGGGAGTCTGCGCTCGAGCGACTACTCTGTGTCTTGCACCTCCACTCGAGCGACCAAAGGTTGGCTCAAGCGTGAAATGCATGCTCCCAGAAGTCTGAGTGTTTTGCAGACCGCTTAAGCGATAAGAATTGTGCTCGAGCAAGGACTTGAGTCTCACACTCGAGCGAGCGTCGAGCGAGCATCGAGCAGAAAAACTAAGCAACCAATACTTTTGCAGACCGCTCGAGCGAGACCCCTATTTTCAGCAATTTTTGTTAAGTGTTTTCAAGTACATTCTAGCATCCTCATTGCATCCTAGGCACTCTTAGGCCATTATTAAGACTCAATAAGAGGTAAAGACTTAGAAATACACTAAGAATGAAATGAAAGATGTTAAGTATCAAACGAGTGTGTGTTTCATTATACGTATCTGTTATGTTTGGTGTAGGTCACGTGCTATGAGCGGTTGATCCATTCGTTTACTGCCAAAGTTATCTGTGAATAATAACTCTGTAAAGTTATGTTTGACTTAATTATTTTATGATGATACGAAATGATCAGTTTTTTGAAATATTATGTTTTGTATGAATGAATGAATGTCCAATTTTCTTGAAAAGTAATTGTGGTGTCCTTAGCGGAGGCCTTCGCCCAGAGGACATAATATTGTGGCTTATGGTCATGAGGCCCTCGCCTCGGGGGAGATAATATCGTGGCATAGGCCCTCCCCCGGGGGAAACAATATCATGGCTCATCTATGAGATATGTTACCCGGTACTGGAGATTCCTTTTTGGAACTTGATATGCTTGACCAAAGAGACATGTTTATGCTAATGGATGTTCCACGCATGATTTGAATATGAATAAGACTATGACTCTGTTTCCACTATAAACATGATTATGATTATGATTATGATTTGCTATGAGATTTGAAATATGTTCTGGGCGTCATTCATTAAAATCTTTACTCTGTTGTTATTCACTGGGCTTCCGCTTACTATTTATATTATATATGTAAGTGACCAGGCACATGACTAGACCCAAAGTTGAGGATCTGGTATCTCTGTTTTGTCAGCCAGCCGTTGTGCCTCCGAGGAGGTTTCCTTTTGTGCGCAAGTCAAGTCTAAACGGCATAAGTTACGACCTAGTGTTAATATGTAATACAATCAAGTCTTTTGATTTATGTGTTTATTGGGGTATTTCCCTTTTGGGCTACAACTGTATTAAATGTGACGAAGATTACTGCATTATGATGTTGCATATATGCATATATATTATATAAGGTTTTAAATTTCTGTCCCATGTATGTCTGCACGGGTCTATGGACTATGTATTGCTGGTATATTTGCTTCCACAACCCCTAATTATACGTTATTTCGTTAAGAGGACTTTGGTAATCCAAGGATTATTGGCTGGTTATGATGCTACACCTATAGAGGAGGGTTTTGGTCGTGACAAAAATATTATATAAAAAAAAACCATACAATTTCAACAAAAGAAGAAGATTTTTTAGAAAAAATAATTATGTTCAAAAGGGAAAAAGGCTTGTAAATGTTGGGCATGTGGAGCAATAGATCACTTTACTAATCAATGCAGAAATAAAAAGAATAATAAAATAATATAATCCTTAGGAAGTCTGGATTATGTAGAATTAGAGAAAGAAGAAGCATTAGAATTGACTCTAGAAAATAATAAAGGAATAATAGAGTTAATTGAAGAAGAACTAGAAATAGAAGACTGAGAGGGTAAAAAGCGTAAATCTGGGCCGAGCTAGGACCGGGTGAAGGTGACCCGAGCTGTGGGCTAAGTGGAGTAGGCTTCACCGTTGGGCCTAGTTGGCTCGGTCTTAAATAACTCAGATAGCCCAGTTGGAGTGTGCCAAACCGAGGTACAAGAAGCTGAAGGGAAGAGCTGAGCTAGGTGAAGCTCGGTCGAATCTACCGCTTAAGCATGGCAATATTAGCTCAGTCGTTTTGTCATACTGAGCTAACCTCTTAAGTATGTGTTACCTTGGTTGTTTTGTCATATTACCGAGGTAAAACCATTTCACTTGGTTAAAGCAGTGATAAGGGTGTTAAGGGATAAGCATCATATTTTAAAAATGTGATTCCTAGGAGAACTCTACATTGAGGAGTAAGAGTCCTACTAGGATTATGCCACGCGGAACCTATAAAAGCTCATAACAAAACCTATGTACAGGTATCACAACTTTGATTCTCGAATACACAGAGCTTTTGTCGATTTGTCTATTTTGTTGACTTAGGCATCGGAGAGGTATCCGGCACACACCCGCCAGCCAACTCACGTTTATGTTTTCAGGGAGTAAAGCGACGACGTTTGGAAGACTGCAAACTTGATCAACAGGATTATATGAGAAAGTTATTTCGTGCTTGTACAATTGGCGTCGTCTGTGAAAAGCAGACAAAGAACAAAACCTCTTGATCAAGTTCTCCTCTTTAGTTGAAAGCAATGGCGCAGGATGAAGACTTGTCGTAATCTGCTGTTGATGGGCAAACCCTAGAGGGAGGTGGAAGGCGCGAAGGTTTACCTTCCATCCCACCCATGGCGGATTTAGAACCCTAGCAACGGAACTCCCGGAGGGATGCGAGGGACGGGGCACTAGCCCCCGTTGCTCTCAAAGTCCCGAAAGACAGAGGCGAAGGTTGGACCCTCAAGTTCTGGAGGATCGCGTTAAGGAACAAAATGAATTAATCAGGAAGATGGCGGTAGACATGGAGACGATGAAGCGCCAGATGAAGGGAAAATGGATGGCAACAGAAGAGAAGCGCAAAAGCAACACGCCCTCTCGCCACTCAGAAGATCGTGACAGGCAGGTCACACCATCACAAGTAGAAAACAAGAGCCTTAAAATAAGCGATATTCAATCAAGGACTGCCAGGACTCGTTACTCCAAGTCTGAGAGATCGAGGACTGAGAGTTCATATATGTTGGGAAGCACTTATAGGCCCCACACGCATCAAACGACATCAAGGCACTCAGAGTTGCCTAGATCTGCGGACCTACGAACAGTGCTGGAAGAGAGGGCCCGATGGAAGGAAGACACTAGGGCTCGCAATCCTCGCAGAGTTTCAGCCCTACAACGATTGGCCCCTAGGATACACGGGAGTGTCGAGGTAGGGATGCCAATACCGCGCCTTGCTTACGAACCAGCAGATAAGGTATTAGCAAGGTTACAGAGCTCGCCGTTCGTTCCATCAATAGAGAACGCACCACTACCTTCGGGCTTCCACTAGCCCAAATTTACTACTTATGAGGGGAATACGGACCCATACATGCACTTAAGCCACTTTTGCTAGGTTATGGTAGTATACCGGCGAAACGAGGCCCTAATGTGCATCATGTTCCCATCCAGCCTTGGTGATCTAGGTCTAACCTGGTTCGAAAGGCTACCAGAAGGCAGCATCGCCCCATGGGCACAACTAGCAGATGCGCTCGTGAATAGATTCAGAACAAATACCAAGACACCGGTGGAGATCGATCAATTACTCTCCATTGACATGGGCGATAAGGAGACATTAAGGTCCTACAACAGTCGATATTGGGAGACTTTTAACCAGATTGGGGATTGCCCTACAAATCTCGCCATCGCACAATACAAACGGGGTTTACCAGTCAGAAACAAATTGAGGGACTCAATCACAGTGACGCCACCGCTCACGATGGAGGCCCTAATGGAGAGGGTGCATCAACATATCCGTGTAGAGGAAGATAGCGCTCGTGCTAAAACAAAATCTGGCACAACAGCAATGCTAGATAAAAAGACTAACAGCGAAAGTCAACACGGTGGAACAACAACGCAGGAATGGGCGAGGTAGGCGAGCCAATAGAGAAGACCCAGAAAAGAGGAACTTAAAAGTCCGCACTACCATCACCATCGTGTTCAATAAACCCATCTACCGGATTCTTAGCGAGATACGGAATGAACCCTTCGTTCGGTGGCCAGCCAAACTGGGAGAAGCACAAAGGGGTTATGACGACAGGTCCCGTTGCACCTTCCATGATGAGAAGGGGCACTGAATGGAAAACTGCACACCCTTGAGGCAACATCTAGAAGAGTTAATGGCGGCTGGTCACCTGGACCAGTACATAGAAGGGGGAACGCAGCCAGCCCCCCAGGACCTCAACGGACCAAATGGGATGCCGGTCGACGGTCCACCCTAAGGAATGATCAACGTTATTCATGGGATCATCGAACCTGAGCGAGTATGCGAACTCAGGGGGATGATCAAAAAGGCTGAACACTTGAGGGAGGTATTAAGTGCACAGCCTACCATCAAGAAGGGCAGAACATAGGCTACCAACGTCATATCCTTCTCAGATAAGGATCTAGCAAGACTACATTGCCCTCACAATGATGCACTGGTAGTGACTTTGCGCGTCAAAAATTTCGACGTCAAGCAAATTCTAATTGACCAAGGAAGCTCATGTGAAATAATGTACTACGAGACCTTCAAACAGTTGAAATTGGAAGACAAAGACTTGGCACCTGCGACATCTCCCCTTGTTGGATTCAACTCGATGCCAGTGTGGCCAGTAGGTAAGATAATCCTCTCAGTCAAGGCAGGAACCATGACAAAACAGGTGGAATTCTGGGTATTGAAAGTCCCTTCCATTTACAACATAATCTTGGGGAGGACATGGCTGCATGCCATGCACTTAGTGGCATCTACCTACCATCAAGCATTACGATTTCCCAACGAAACTGGCATGATTGAAGAAGTCTTAGGAGACCAAATCATGTCGAAGCAATGTTTCGTCACAGTAAATGGAAGCCGTGCTGCAAAAGAGTTTGTACAGATGGTGGAAGAGCCAGAGAACAATGAACTGTTTGCAGATGTTGGCAAGGCAGCCGAACAGAAGGCAGTGGAAGACTCGGTAGAAATAAGGATAGATGAAAAGAACCAAAAAAAGTTCTTTTTGCTCGGTTCATCGTTGTCCAGCACTGAGAGAATAGAGGTCATGGAATTCTTAACCTCTAACATTGAAGTATTTGCCTGGACTCCATACGACATGCCTGGCATTAACCCAAACTTCATCTGTCACCAACTCAATGTCCACTCAACTGCCAGACCAATTATACAACGCACTCGCAGATCGACACTCCACCACGCAGAGATAGTGGCGGAAGAAGTGGGAAACTTACTGGAGGCAGGAGCCATCAGAGAAGTGCACTATCCCAGATGGATCTCCAATACTGTTGTAGTGCCCAAAAAGAACGGAAAATGGCGTGTTTGTGTGGACTACAAAACAGTCAACAAGGCATGCCCAAAGGACAGTTTCCCCCTCCCATGGATAGACCAACTAGTAGACCTGACAGCAGGACACAATCGAGTTAGCTTCCTTGATGCGTATAGAGGTTACCATCAGATCGCTATGTACGAACCAGATCAGGAGGTCACTTCATTTACAACACTTAGAGGGTTGTATTGTTACAAGGTCATGCCCTTTGGCCTAAAGAACACAGGGGCAACATTCCAACAGATGGTCACCAAAATGTTTGAACCATTGTTAGGCAAAACAATGGAGGCTTACATAGATGACATGGTGGTCAAAAGCAAGGATGAGAAGGACCATCTCAGGGACCTAGGTGAAATGTTCCAGATTCTGAAAAAGAACAAGTTGCGTCTAAATGCATCCAAGTGTGCATTCGGTATAGGATCAGGCAAATTCCTAGGCTTTCTGGTGACCAATCGAGGTATTGAAGCAGACCCCTCTCAGATCAAAGCAATCCAAGATCTTGAAAGGCCCAACACAGTTAAAGAGGTGCAGCATCTCACTGGCCTAGTGGCTGCACTGAACTGATTCATAAGTCGGTCATCGGACAGATGTCAGCCATTCTTCCAAGCCTTAATGGCCAAGTTTGAGTGGGATAAAGAATGCGATCGGGCCCTAGAAAGCCTGAAAGAGTACATGTCTTCTCCACCGTTGTTAGTAACCCCAGTGCCTGGAGAAGAGCTTCTTTTGTACTTAGTGGTTTCACAGCATGCAGTCAGCACAGTGTTGGTCAGAGCGGAAGGGATCCAACACCTACCTATCTTATACGTTAGCAAAACCTTGCTGGATGCTAAAACAAGATACCTACCATTAGAAAAACTGGCATTAGTTTTGATGATGGCCTTAAGAAAGTTGTCGCATTATTTCCATGCCCACACCGTGATCGTCCTAACGGCCTTTCCATTAAAGGCCTTGTTTAAGAGGGCAGATTTTTCTGGACGAATCTTGAAATGGGAGGTGGAATTGGGGCAGTTCGACATCAAGTTTCAACCCAGAACAACAATTAAAGCCCAGACTTTAACAGACTTTGTGGCTGAGTTCACACCAGGAAGTCATCTTGTCTGTCCAGTCGATTTGACTGACGCAAATGAATTAGGGGGAAAAGTGCTGCGGAAACTGCGCAACCCCCGATACAGGATACTTAGCCACATTGTAAGCCACACAGGCTTGAGGATCAGAAGGAAGGAACGAACCATGCTATTCCCAGTGAGGACTCATCAAAAAGCAAAGACTTGAGGCAGTCAGATAGTGAAGATGCAACACCAACAACTAGCATAGACTTGGAAGAAAGCACCAGTAACACCTATGATCCCAAGACATTGGCCGATCCATATACTTGCTAGAAGCTATTCGTTGGAGAGATGTGGAAGCTCTTTGTGGATGGAGCATCCAATAGGCACGGTGCAAGACTTGGCATAGTCCTCATCTCGCCAGATGGCCTAATAGTGGAACAAGCAGTCAACCTTGGCTTCCCAGCATCAAACAATGAGGCGAAATATGAAGCGCTTTTAGCAGGCCTAAAATTAGCACTTTTCATGAAGGTCACCGAGCTAATGGTTTATAGTGACTTCCAGCTGGTGGTAAACCAAATTTCAGGCGACTACGAGGCGAAGGATGAGAGGATGGCTAAGTACCAAGAGTTAGTAAGAAAGGAGATCATGAAGTTCGAAGTAGTGCGGATAGAGCAAATCGGCTGAGAATAAAATAGTACAGCAAACGAACTAGCAGGATTTGCTTCAATGACAGATACATCTATTCCACATCCATTACTGATCGACTACTTACCCAGACCGAGTATTGAAGAACTCGAAGTAGCTGAGGTATGTTGTGTCGAACTAGGTCCTTCATGGATGGATCCCATTATTGTATTCTTAAAAGACGACATCTTACCTGATGAGAAGAAAGATGCCAACAAAATAAGAGCAAAGTCACAGCGATTTTGGCTCTCTCCATCATTGGCGTTATACAAAAAATCCTTCACAGGACCTTACTTGAAATGTGTCTGCCCCAGCAAGGTTGAGGCATTCTTGTTCGAGATACATGAAGGCGTATGCGGAAGCCATCAAGGGGGAAGATCATTGGTTTACAAGGCAATCTCACAAGGATATTGATGGCCATACATGCAGGCAGATCAGAGAAGTATGTCAAGAAGTGCGAGAAATATTAGAAGTTCGCACACCAGATACACCAACCAGCCAGAGAGCTTCTACCATTAACTAGCCCATGGCCCTTCGTAATGTGGGGCTTGGACATAGTGGGACCACTTCCAACAGCACCTGGTAACAGAAAGTTCTTTCTCGCAGCAACAGATTACTTCACAAAATAGGTGGAAGCTGAAGCACTTGCATCAATAAAGGAGAAAGATGTTAATAAGTTCGTTTGGTAGAATATCATAACCCGATACGGCATACCAAAGGCTTTAATATCCGACAATGGCACTCAGTTTAATGGCAAGATCTTCAGGGGCTTCTGCGAAGAATACAAGATAGAATTCTACAACTCTACACCTGCATACCCTCAAGCGAATGGCCAAGCAAAAGCTTCAAACAAATTCATCCTAGATGGTTTAAAGAAAATGTTGGAGAGAGCAAAAGGCAAATGGGCTGAGGAGCTTCCTCATATTTTATGGGCTTACCATACCACACATCGGCGATCAACTGGAGAAACGTCTTTTTCCCTGGCTTATGGCATGGAGGCAGTAATCCTACTAGAAGTAGGCCTCCTCACTATTAGAAGTGAAAATTTTGACCTAGACTTAAATGGAGAAGCCATAGCCTTGGAACTCGACCTTGCCGAAGAGAGAAGAGAAAGAGCTCAAGTTCACATTGCTTCGTACCAGCAGGAGTTATCTAGAAAATATAATAAAATGGTACATCCAAGGCAATTCAAGATTGGGGATTGGGTATTACGCAAAGTAATGGGCAACACTTTGGTACCTGGAGATGGCAAGTTGGGACCTAACTGGGAAGGACCATACAAAATGGTTGGTTTAGCGGGAAAATGGGCATATCACTTGGAAGATGGAGATAGCAAGGCTATTCCCAGGCCATGGAACACTGCTAATCTCAAGTTATTTTTTTTTTAGCTTTCTTATAGAATATTTGTAATTTTTTTCCCTTTTTCAAATAAAGCAAGTAGTTTACTTTTCTAGCATAAGTCTTTCTACTGTAAAAGTCGTTCTCAGTCATCGCCAGCAAGTGGCAATCAGAAAGTTTGGCAGAAATAACCAAACATTGAGCTCTCTTCAGCCAAGATCAGGATCTAGGTTGAAGAAGGTTGGCAGGAATAACCAACATTTATCTCTCTTCAGCCGAGATCAGGATCTGGCTGAAGAAGATTGGCTGGATTAGCCAAACTGTTAGCTCTTTTCAGCCGAGATAAGGATCTAGGCTGAAGAATGTTGGCCGGAATAACCAACATTGAGCTTTCTTCAGCCGAGATAAGGATCTAGGCTGGAGAGGTTGGCAGGAAAAACCAACATTTATCTCTTTTCAGCCGAGATCAGGATCTAGGCTAAAGAGGTTGGCAGGAAAAACCAATATTTATCTCTCTTCAGCCGAGATCAGTATCTAGACTGAAGAGGTTGGCAGGAAAAACCAACATTTATCTCTCTTCAGCCGAGATCAGGATCTAGGCTGAAGAGGTTGGCAGGAAAAACCAATATTTATCTCTCTTCAGCCGAGATCAGGATCTAGACTGAAGAGGTTGGCAGGAAAAACCAACATTTATCTCTCTTCAGCCGAGATCAGGATCTGGGCTGAAGAGGTTGGCAGGAATAACCAACATTTATTCTCCTCAGCCGAGATAAGGATCTAGGCTGAAGAGGTTGGCAGGAATAACCAACATTTATCTTTCTTCAGCCGAGATAAGGATCTAGGCTGAAGAGGTTGGCAGGAATAACCAACATTTATCCCTTTTCAGTCGATATAAGGATCTAGGCTGAAGATGTTGGCAGGAATAACCAATATTTATTTCTCTTCAGCCGAGATAAGGATCTAGGCTGAAGAGGTTGGCAGGAATAACCAACATTTATCCCTCTTCAGCCGATATAAGGATCTAGGCTAAAGAAGTCGGCAGGAATAACCAAATTTAGCTCACCTCAGCTGAGATAAAAGATCAAGGCTGGAGAAGGTTAACACAGATTGTCTAGCTAAATCGAGATGGCAATCTCAGCCAAAAAAGTTCCAGACATTCCAATTAAAGTTGAGACAAACACAAGCAGGATATGAACCGGGAAAAAAGAAGAACAGATTTCATTTAAGATTGGAACTGCATTACAAAGAGGTGGGGCATCAGTCCGGTTACAAATTCTTACAAAAAGTTAGCATTTAAAGAAGAAAATACAAGATCAGGCAAAAAGATCATCCAAATCTGCATCCAAAACAACCCGAGCTTCACCACTCAGTAGCCTGGTTCCAGCAGGAAGGTCGGTCACAGCCACATCTTCAATCGTAATGGGCACTGATGGTTCCACCTGAGCTGACTGGGCAGTTTGGAGACCGGGATCAATGGTAGCAACAGGGGTGTTGTTGGGCTCTAGAGATGCCTTCTCTTTCTCCCCTACTTGAAGAAGTTTTTGCTGAATGGCATTGGCGTAGTCTGCCATATAACTCGGAATGAAGTGGGGAGGAGGGTTCTGAAAGACCTCGGTTTCTTGGCCATAACCGAGCTTTGACATGGCTGCCTTCCATCCGCATTTGAAAAATATGTCCTTGGCAGCTTCACATTGCAGGATGTAGGTGGCTTCCCCTTCTCTGTAGCTGTGATCTTCAGCATCGTCCGCGCTCTTTTTTAGTTCGGCAATCTCGGCATCTTTTTTCTTTTCAAGCTTGGTTAGTTCGTGCAAATAGCGGTCTTTCAGCTCGGCCAGAGCTTTCTGTTTATCCGCTTCCACTGCGTTAACTAGTTCGGTAAGTCGGGCATTGTCAGATTCAAGCTCGGCAATTTTTTGCTTGGCTTCATTCAACTCGACCGTTTTAGCATTGGCGTTTGCTACAGCAAGCTGCGCTATCTTACGCAGCTCCAGCACGCGCTTATGAGAGATGTGGTTCTTTTGCATGGCCTACAGGAGGGGCAACAATTATTAACAAAAACCAAGCAAACAGATGATGGAAAATGCAAGATAGTTAAAAGGAGCACTTACCAGCACCATTGACTTTGTCGCCGACCGGATGGCCTTGAGCTCGGTCAAATGGTCATGATGCTCCATGTCAGAAGGCAAACACATGCTCTTAGCCAGGTTAAAAGTGAGCTTATGGTCTTTGTTTGCCACTACTGAATCAATGCTAGTAATAGCGTGGTTGTTGTAGGTAATCTTTGGTATCCACTCAGAGGAGCTAGCTCGGTCAGAGCGCTCAGGTTGTGGGCTCGGAGGTGTGGTTTGGGGAAGCAAGGTTTCATCCTTGTCAACAAGGCGTGGCTCGGTTGTGGAAGTCCGAGCACGCTTGCTGGGCCGAGATGATGAAGGTTGGGCGGTTGGAAGGGCTACCATGGCCCCTTGTGTTTGGCCAGCTTGTGGTACCTCGCCCTGATTTGTTTCGGTAATGAGGGTCCTTACTGCTCTCTTCTTGGCCATCTCTTGTTCTGCAGTTAAAGGGATGAGGTTGATTTGTGGAAGAGTTGGGTCAGGTTCAGGAGAGGGTTCCAGAAGAAAATCTGTTACCTTAGTCTTCCTTCTACTACTGTATCTATATGTCGGCTCAAAGTTGAGTAGCT